ATCTCTTTTGCCAAGAAAAAAAAATATTAATAGGGGTTTACGACAATCATACAAGTAGGCACGATCCCTTACCCTGAATGCCTTCGGCTGGGATCAACTTATTCGTTGTCTCTCTCTTTCGAGGCGACGATAGATTTTTTTGGCATGTTTGGAACAATAGCCCGTATAAGATAATGTAGGTTTATCACATATTCTGCATGGAGATTTTAGCATATTATTTGCATCTGATTTCCAGTGGAGCGAACATCCTGCCAAGCGGGTGCAGACTCAGCCACAAGTACTCCCATCCTTTCTAATATGTGGGCAGGTAAGACGATCCATTTATTATATTCTTTCTTCACTTCCATTATAAAATCTGATTTCAAATTATGGAAAAATCTGAATTGAACTTCGGTGGAAAAAGTATAACATAAACGAAAAATATATACCACACCATACTACTTCATTTTTATGGACAAGCAAAAAACAGTATTCAATATTTTAACAGACCGATGGATCGACCCAAATGGAAAGCTATTTCAGAAGTTGATTCGAGAAGGCTATAAATATGTGGATAGGCTTTTCGATTACCTAGAAGATATTGGGATTTTGTATGTTGGCGAATTCGAATTGGATCCCTTAGCCGACTTCTACCACCCAACTCTAATTCCACTCTTATTTATCTTAGCGAGTAGATCAGATATTTGTAAAAGAGTTCCTATTAGTGTAGAATCTGCTGTTATGGGAGAAATGAGTCTATTTACTCTAGAAAAAAATAAACGATCTTCACTCCAGAATCTAATCCAAATGAACTATTCCATTAATAACTTGACCACGTTAATAGGAATAACTTGGGAGCAAGAAGAGATGAAAACTTGGAGAAACGACATGCTTATGAAATTCCTCCATCACCCGGATTTAGCCCCTTTAAAGCACAAACTAGATGCTTTATACGATGCATTCACCAAGACTAGTGTTTTAGGGTCAGAACATATATTAGCTCTAGCGCGAGCATTATGTTAAGGATTATGATATAATAAATTGTTTTATAGCCCTGGAATGGCAGTTCCATGACTATATATTTTTTCGCTTATTATATATACCTGCAAAATTCAATTTTTTTATTATTATACAGTAAATAAATACAAATGTTTGGGACGTAGCCCAGGATACATGACGTCTATGCTATATCTAATCCTACAGGCTAACTAACTACCTGACATTTACGTGACTTGGAAATTCGACCCTCCTTCTTTACGAATTGTCTGTAAAATACATGATTATTAATTGTAAGAAACTAGGATTACAGTAAATCACAATAAAGTAATTTGCAAAATAGTTAGATTCTTACACAATATATCCATCTAGCAATTGAGATAATTTGAGCTGTTCCTCCTCGAAAAGCTTTCTCTTCTTTTTTGTGTCCGCCCGACTTGCCATCCCAAAGTCGATCAAGTAGATGTCATCATTATCATTAATTAAGATGTTTTCTTCCTGAATATCATTGTGGAGGATACCATGCTTGTGGATTGCTTTTAATCCCTTAATAGCCCTTGTCTTTTGCTATTCCGTTATTTTTTGGTCGCTCAACATACTACCAACAATGGTTAAGCCGATAACGAAGCTCATACCTCCTCCATAATATCCATAACAGACCAGCTTTAGGATATACTTGCCTTAAATATCAGCTAGATCTTTATACATCTTTACTTCTTTCTGCATTTCTTCCAGAACATACGATGGGATCTTAGATAAGTCTGCACTCTTCAAAGCAATCATATCTCCACGAAATTCGCATAGGAGAGTCTTTCCACTTCGACCTTCACCTAGTATACTCTTGAACTTGAAGTCTGAGAAGCTATAATTGTTCTGTTTAACAAAAGTGTTGCTGGAAGCGCCAAAGGCAGAAGATGATAGTTGATTACTGGGAGTTGGTTGTTGATTTATCGAGGAGTTGGAAGGTGATTTTATATGTGATCGGAGAACACGTGAATTATTGTCCCCATGAACTGGTACTAGTACTTGAGGATGAGAAGAATTGGGATTTTCTTTCGCCTGTCGAGTTAGGTAAGCATATGCCTTGAGTACTGGTGGAGATTCGGATTGTAGTGGAAGAGTTTTTGAAATCCAGAGCTCTGTATGCTCTCAGCGTAGAAACCAGTGATTATCATAGGTGGTAAGAATACCATATCTAAGTTCGTTTTCTCCCATATAATTATAAATTTATTGAACTACATCCTTGCCTTTACCCGTATAATAAAACTCGAGAAGTGTCTGTTCACCCATATCTTCTAAAACATACTTTCTTTTAGCCTCCATCACCAAGATCAATAATTCTGCACGATGGCAGTTGAAATCTGGTATGCCAGTGGCGTCAGTTGGTCGTCTTGAATATACGCAGTCTGGTCCTGTAAGAGTGCATTTCAGAGAATAAGTTATAGGTGGTGGAATACATGACAACGCTTTTTTCAAACTGAGAACTGGAAACGAATACGTGTTAATATTACGAAGGCAAATGACGAAAAATTAGCCGTTAGTCCTTAAGACGCTCTGCTAGGCGCTTTGCACAGACTGTACCAGACACTTACGTGGCAACTTTACAATAACATGGATATGTTCTTCGGGAGGTGAGTCTGGGAAATACTTCGAAATCTTTTTTGTTGCAAGAAGTTCAACTTGGTCTTGGAGTGTGAGATTGCTTA